TGGCCTTGAGCTCACTTTGTAGCCCAGGCTGGTCTTGAACTCACAATGATCCTCCTGCCTCAGCCTCCTGAGTGCTGGGATTACAGGCGTGCACCACCATGCTCGGCAAAAGTAGGAAATGTAAAAAATTCTAAAATTACTTGTATTGAGAGGCTTTAGCTATAAGTAAAAAAAAAATTTTTTTTCAAAAAAAAATTCAGCAAAAAGTGACCATAAGCGATAGAGGTGGTTCGTGATTCGTCTCAGTTAATGAACTGAGAGGAAGGAAGCTCCAAAGTTGGCCCATTTGCCTAAATAGATCACTGGCTGCCTTTGTTTCTCAGCTTCCTTTGGGTCATGTGAGACAAGATGGTTGCTATTGCTGCAGGCATCGCACACTCAAGCAGCCATCCATAAAAGGAGAAAAAGTGGTTTGTCTTCCAGAGTCTACTGGGGACACCTTTTGGAGAAATCTTTAGAAGATGTCCCCCCTTACTCGTTTTCCTTGGCCAAGCTATTCCTCTTCGGTAATAAAAATACCTCAGACTGGATGTCTTAATCTGTTTTGTTTGCTATAACAAAGTACCTGGGGCTGAGCACTTTATGCAGAAAAGAGGTTTATTTAGCTCCTCATTCGAAGGTCAGCACCTGCTCAGTGCTGGTAGCGGCTGCTGACTGCTGCACAGCATGGTAAATGGCGTCACAGGAAGGGTTGCCTGGTGATACAGGAAGCAGAACAACTCAGGGACCAGCTTGCTCTTTGTAGAGCACAGAGCAGGTCACACCCAAGCCAAACCCTGACCCCTGGGAAGTCAGGGGTGGAGGAAACAGAGGAGAGGTAACTGACAGCATCTGCCACGATGCGATTTCAGAAATACTATTTTCAGCCCATCTACCCACAAAGCTAACATTTTTGTCTTTCAGCATTGGCATCCCACTGAGAAGTTGCAGATAGTATTTACCCAGGATTTGGCGGCCGTGGCATGCATTGGCTGTGTTTTCGAACCTAAACAAATCTGCTGAGGGGATGGAGGTGTAGCTCAATGATAGAGAGCTTGCGAAGCATGCACAAGGCTCTGGGCTTGATCCCTACAGTGCAGGGGGCAAATGCTACAGGAGACACTTCTGTGAACTCTGGAGACTGCATTTTTGTTTTGTTTTTGTTTTGCTTTTTTTTTTTTTTTTTTGGTTTTTCTCGGGTACCGGGAACCGAACTCACGACCTTGCGCTTGCCAGGCAGGCGCTTTTGCCGCTGAGCTAAATCCCCAGCCCCCTTGTTTTGCTTTTTGAACAGGGTCTTGCTATGCAACCCAGGCTGGCTTTGAGCTTGCCGTGATCTTCCTGCCTCAGCCTCCTGAGTACTGGGATTACAGATGTGCACCACCATGCCTGACTAGAGACTGTGTTTTTGAAAGGTGTTCAGCAGATGTTTGAGTGCCTTCTGGGTGGCAACAGTGTTGAGCACTGGAAAGTGAACCCAGGTCAATCTGTAGGAGCCGGTGTAGACAGTGTCAGAATTGCAGGGCAATAATTAGTTCTGTGTCTACAGCCATTCTCTCTAGTGTCACAATTGCACTGACTTATGCCATGACCTGGGACCTATCCTCGTACACTTTCAGCCTACGTCACATTTAGCATAGACTCGGATTTTTGTTTTTATTCTTTTTTTTAATTAATTAATTAATTTATTTTTGGGGGTTTTTTTTCTCCGGTACCGGGAACCGAACTCACGACCTTGCGTTTGCCAGGCAGGCGCTTTTGCCGCTGAGCTAAATCCCCAGCCCCTGTTTTTATTCTTTTGTCACATGAACTCCACGCTGGGTTCTGCTAGATTGTGACACAGTGGAAAGACAGGCTCCTAACCGCTGGGAGTGCAGGCCGGCTCCCCTCAGCCCAGAAGCTTTATCATGTTGATTAGGCAGTGTCAGGAGCCAATTAATTTCCAGGGCAGATTTGCGAAGTAGTGTAATTCACAGAGCCGCGATCAGGATTTTGGAAGCAGCCTGTCTCTCCTTCCTGCCGCTGAGATAGATTTCTGTGGCCCTTTGGGGTCTTTAGCTGGATGAGACGCTGATTTTTCCTTCAGCGCGAAGATTTATAACTACTCCCGCTTCACAAATGAATGTGCTTGAGTTTTAATGCTGAAGTATTTAGGGCTGTGGAGAGGACCCTTCGGGGGATATTAAAACATAATTGGGACCCTTCCATCAACTCTGCATGGCGGCGGTGAACACATGCAGTCCGCGTTCCCGCTTTGCCCAGGATGAGTGGGAGAAGTGTGCATTTGTGGGGTTCGGCTGGCAGTGTGTTCAGGAGTCATGATTTGTTGGGAAAAACGTGCACACTCAGCACTGTCCCTAGCAAAGGAGAAGACAGCGGTGTTTTCTGTGACCCTGGAGGTTGCTGCGAGACGCGCCGGCCCACCTTTCTTGGTGACATTCGTCTAAAGTCCTTTTCTTTTTCCTACTACAACTCTCTGATTTCAGGGCTCCTGTATCAGGAATACCGAGACAAATCCACTCTCCAGGAAATTGAAACGCGGAGGCAGCAGGATGCGGAAATCCAGAGCAGTGAGGATGGGTCCCCGGCCGGCGAGGACACCCCTGAGGAGGAGGAGGAAGAGGAGGAGGAGGAGGAGCCGGTGAGCCCGCCCGAGAGGAGACCTTTGCCCCAGATCTGCCTGCTCAGCAACCCTCACTCGAGGTTCAACCTGTGGCAGGACCTCCCCGAGATCCGGAGCAGCGGAGTGCTGGAGATCCTGCAGCCGGAGGAGGTCAGACTGCAGGAGGTAGGCGCTGCGGCTCCGTCCTCAGGGGTGCGGGTGCGGGAGGCGTTCTGGGGGGAGGGCGTGGGAGTGAGGTCCCCGGCTGGCACCCAGAGAATTTCCCTCACAGGGTTCATCCAAGGAAATAATCAGGCGGCAGTAAGCACCCGCTTACCTTCTCGGGCAGCTCGCTGGCAGTGTGAGTGCGCAGAGCGTTGCTTCTTTGTCGCGCTGGCAGATTGCACTTTTCCACGGGTTACTATTGTTGTGGGGTGTCCACACTGCGGGGCACTCAGCTTGAGGCAAGGTTAACTGTGAGTCACCAACTTGCAGTTGGTCAGGATCTTACCCCACAACTGTGTCGGAGCCATGTGAACTTTGGATGGGGAAGGATTTTGAAAGAAAGCCTCAGCCCGGCCACCCCCTGCAGAAATGGTGTGGAAACTGGGGACCCGTGCTGGTCACCCCTTTGTTCAGTGGTCCCGGTGGACATCAGCTGACATGGAGCAGGCGGAGGTCAAGTCACGGAGGTGTCCAAGGGCTTGCTGCTGCCAGGGGACAGTGCATTAACACTAACCGCGACACAGCAAGGCATGAGGGTGTATGCCTGTAATCACAGCATTCAGGAGGCTGAGGCAGGAGGATCGCTGTGAGTTTGAGGCCAGCCTGGGTGACACAGTGAGTTTAAGGCCAGCCTGAACTGCATAATGGGACCTTGTCTCAAAAAAACAAAACTAAACTCAACTAACAGGGACAGAAATGAATGGTGAGACATTTGAGTGTTCATTTGAGTTGAACAAAGATTATTTGAGTGTCTAGGACACTGTGTGGCTTGGGGAGACAAGAGTGTGGTCGATGGTAAGGAGGTGGCTGGCCAGAGCTGGGAGAGTGTGTGTGCGTGTGTGTGTGTGTGTGTGTGTGTGTGTGTGTGTGTTGGGAATTTTTGTGCTGGGAATGGAACCCAGGGCCTTGTGCGCTCTGCTGTTGAGCCATGCCCCCAACTGCAGCCCCTTTGAGATTTTAACAGTGAGTACAGAGCCCAGCGTGGCGGCACACGCCTGTAATCCCAGCACTCCAGAGGCTGAGGCAGGAGGATCATTGAGAGTTCCAGGCCAGCCTGGGCTACAAAGTGAGTTTAAGGCCAGCCTGAAGTGCATAGCAAGACCCTGTCTCAAAAAGTCAAAAAATAAACAAATAAATAAAAAGTGGGCACCAAAGGAAGAACTGAAGCCAGCGGAGCAGAACCCCACCCCGACCTTCTGCACACATGCAGCCCGAGCTGGTGCCTGGTCCCGGCTTTGTCGAGGCTCGAGCCTGCCTTCCCTGCCCTCTTTAGGCTGTGCTCTATTCCATAGACACCTTTATTCTTGTTCTTTATTTTTATTAAAAAATGGCTGCAGTAGAAGGATCACTTAAGCTCAGTGGTCTAAGGCCAACCTGGGCAATGCCGCAAGACTCCCATCTCTTAAAAAATAAATAACCAGGTGTGGTGGCCCACACTTGTAATCCCTGCACTTGGAGGCTGAGGCAGGAAAATCACTGCAAGTTCGAAGTGAGTTATCTAGTGAGTTCCAGGCCAGTCTGAAATGCATAGCAAGGCGGTCTCAAAATAAAACAAAATCAGTAAATAATAAGCAAATAATCAATAAAAAACAAAACAGCAGAATCTCCACCTTAACTGCCAAGATTGAGAAGAGCTCCAAGCCGGGTGTGGTGGTGCATGCCTGTAATCCCAGCACTCAGGAGGCTGAGGCAGGAAGATCTTTGTGAGTCCGAGAGCAGCCTGGGCTACAAGTGAGCTCAAGGCCAGCCTGAACTGCAGGGCAAGACCCTGTCTCAAAAAGACCAAAAAAAAAAAAAAAAAAAAGAAAAAGAAAAGAAAAGAAAAGAGAGAAGAGCTCCAGCCCTGCATCTTCCAACCCAGACTCAGGTTTTCCAATAGACTTGCTGCTAGGGAAGTCGAGGCTCCGTAAGTCCAGGTCCATCTGGGGATCCTGCCTAGTAGAATCAGGAAGAGTTTCTACTCTACCGCCCTTGTGACTTGTGAGCAGTGACTTGTAAATAGTGGCATCAAGAGTGTGTGTCCTTATGATGCAAGGCTCTGAGCTAAACCCTAACACGCAGAGCTGAAACACGCATGCACCCTTGCAACACCAGGGGAGCTAAAAGCACAGAACGGTCTCCGCCATGTCACACAGGAAAACAGAGAAAACAGCAAAGGAAAGCAGCGTGAAATAAAGCAAGAAAGTGAATAAGAGACCACAGCTACAGCAATGAACATGAGTGGCTGAAAGTCCTCCACAAAGACAGAAACTCACAAGGGGTCAGAAAGGTAGACCCACTGTCAGAGCAGATGGCAAAGTCAGGCACGAAAATACCAGCAAGGTCAGCAGAGGCGTTCCGGGGCCTCATGCGTGGCCTGTACTTTGATAAAGGTACCACTTTATTTTTGATTTTTTAGTTTTTTTGTCTTTTTGAGACAGGGTCTCACTATGCAGTTCAGGCTGGCCTTGAACTCACTTTGTGGCCCAGGCTGGTCTTGAGCTCAGAACGATCCTCCTGCCTCAGCCTCCTGAGTGCTGGGATTACAGGCGTGAGCCACCACGCCCGGCCTGGTACCATTTTATTTTTAAATATTTTAAAATTTCATAACTAACTTAGTATGCTGTAATTGTTTTTAAAAAAATGTGAACAGCACCAATGTGTCCAGGCTTTCCTTTGACCGTGGACCTCCCTGGGGGACCAGTTCTAATTTCTGTCCGGATAGAGCACAGCCGCTAGGCACTGTCTGCTTTTGAAGTCTAGGCACTGTTCAGCAGCAGCAGCTTGGTTTGGGTTGTGGTGTTCAGCAACTTGCCTTTACTGGATTCTTCAGCGTTTAGCTTAGGTTTTATAAACTTTGCATTGAAACCCACTGGTTTTTAGCAGAAAACGATGTAATTGCATCAGAGGTACAGGGGGCTTGAATCAGCTCCAGGAGGGGCACAGCTGACTGAAAGCGGGGAGAGACTTGTGCCCAGCCCAGTGGGTCCCGGACCCCAGCGCAGCTTGGAGGGTGGCAGAGGACAGAGGTGAGCTGGTACGGTAACAGCACGGGCTGCTCAGGAGGGCTCGTGTCTGCACACTGAGGCCCTGCCTCCGGAGCCTGGCAGTGGCATTGCTGGGCAAAATAAAGCACATTTTTAGTACAGAGAGATTCTACCAGATTGCCACTCAGAAGGCAGCCTAGCCTGGGCACCCCAATAACCTGAGACTCCCAAATTGCAGCCCTTCTGCCTTCCATGATGGCAGAAGCGGCAAATTCTACACCATGAAACTTTGTTTTGTGTATGAAATTATTAAAAATATTTTAAATAAAATTACCTTCAGACTACATGTAGAAGAACCATAAACAGGCTGTGTGTGGTGGTGTACACCTGTAATCCCAGCACTCAGGAGGCTGAGGCAGGAGGATCGTTGTGAGTTCAAGACCAGCCTGGGCTACAAAGTGAGCTCAAGGCCGGCCTGAACTGCATAGTGAGACCCCGTCTCAAAAATACCAAAAAAAAAAGGAACCATAATAAATACCATGTTGAGACCCAGGTCCCTCCTTTTGATTGCTCCTTGTGCGTGTGCAGATAGATATTTAAAAACCTGAAATCAAAACACTTCTGTCCCGGGCATTTTGAATAAGGGACACTACAGAGTCCCTGGCCACCAACAGCGCGAGAGGCCGTTTCCACCCACCCTCCCCCGTCCTGCCATCCGATTACTCATTTTCTATAATCCTTAGTCGGAAGGGGAGGAGGAGATTCCTTATCCCCTCCAGGATGCGTGAGCCTTTCCATGCGTTTATTTGTTCTTTCCATTTATCAGTGAGCCATCCTATTTTTTGCCTAATTTTATTCTGGTGGATTGTTTGTGTCAAACGTAATTCATCAGCAGCTTTTCTTTTTTGTTGTTGTTGTTTTTTGTTTTTCTCCGGTACCGGGAACCAAACTCACGACCTTGTGCTTGCCAGGCAGGTGCTTTGCCGCTGAGCTAAATCCCCAACCCCCATCAGCAGCTTTTCAAACATTCTGGATAGTAATTCTTTTTCATATTTTCAGATATTTTCTCCCACAGTACGGAATGAGGGAACTGACAGAGCGTAGTGATTATCACACAGGCGCTGGTGCCCAGCTGGCTGGGTTCTGAGTGTCAGCTCTGCCACTTCTTAGCTGTGTGGTGTAGGGCAAAGGACACAACGTCTCTGTGCTTCGGCTGCTTTATGTGTAAAGCAGAGGGGTCTTAGTCCATTCTGCTGTTGTTAATATGCAGTAGCTGAAACTGGGGAAGGTATAAAGAAAGAGAGGTTATTCAGCCCGTGGTTCTGGAGGCGAGGAAATCCTTTTCCTTATTTAAACCCGACATCCCAGTGTTGTCTTAGATCAGGGAGACAGAGCCCAACAGAAATGGTCACAGTGAGTGGTCATGGCGGTCTGTCAGGTTGCAGAGCCAGGGATGGGCAGGAGGCGTCATCACACTCCCTGTTCCTAGGAGTAGGCCAAGCTGGGCACACAGAGGCGCTGATCATGGAGAGCTGGGTTGGGGGGTGTGAGGGTCACGGTTGAGCTCCATCCCCTCTCAGACTGTGCTACCCGTGCCCCCATGGCCCCTGGGCACTGAACACCACCAAAAATGGGTCATATGTTGTCTTAGTCACTTTCTTCATCACTGGGACAAAATCCCTGCCACCAGCAGCTTAGGGAAGGAAAGATTTATTTCCTCTCCAACAAGGGACGCTTGTTGGAGAGGTTTCAGCCTGTAGTTGGCTGGCTCCAAGGCAGGGTGGCTCGGCAGAGGGGCCGGGCGGAGGAGAGCTGTTCATGGCCTGGTGAAGAGGAAGCAGGGAGCAGGGGAGGAGCCAGGAGGGAGAAGGGGCTTCCTGCCACGCCCTCCCAGACCACGCCCTCCCAGACCACGCCCTCCCAGACCACGCCCTCCCAGACCACGCCCTCCCAGACCACGCCCCAGCCCCTCATGGCAGGTCAGCCTTGAGCCCC